GCTAGGTCTGGATGGGCCTTAATTTCTTCATCTTTTCTAAAATTTTACAGTTTTGTTATATTTAAACTTACAGTATCATTACAGTGCAGTTAGTTAAAGCTATATATGTATTATGTGATATACACATTATCTAAACTTCTAAGAGAATCTTGATTTGTCAAGTAATATTGACCTGTGACTTAAAATATAATTGTATGGGTTTCACATAAATTCCTTTGTAGATAATTTATAACTAGCAATTTAAACTATTTATGGTCATGAATTAGTAGTGGCAGATGTTCGGGGGCTTTTTATGCACCCAGAGACTGACTGAACTTTGTATTTTAACATATGTACTACCGAAGCGAGCACCAGATCTTTATATTTGTTACTTCCTTTGCAGCTCATAGATAGGAAACTAACACCAGTCTTGTAACTGAACTGGCAAAAATTGGCATGTAAATTCTTGAGTTTGTTTCCTTAGAGTTTGCTTTGTTATGCAGAACCCTCACTTTGAATGCATTTGCCTAATATTTGCATAGTTCAGGTACACTAATACATATGATTAATTTTATTTCTTCACAAAAATCTTACAAAACATTATTTTTAAGATTAGAAAACTGATGTTGAGAGACATTGAGTTAGGTTTGGCAGGACACTTAGGAATTGTAGTCTGGACTCAGCTGTTCACTCTTGCCTTCAAATTCTGTTTGATTATACCATATTTTTATGGAGAATAGGACAGGAAATGCTAAGCTTATTGAAATGGTTGAGATACTTGAAAATTTTTAAAATTTGAAATACATGTTTTTTATAATATAATGTAATAAGATATAATATTTATCTGTATTTGCTTAGGCTTAGCTACTTCTTACTGATCTCGTTAGTATAAATTTGGAGGTGTCTTCCTTACCTAGTTACACCATGTTTAAGGGCTACGTCAGTCTTACCATGTGCTTGAAACTTTCACAAAATTGCATTTTTCTGTTCACAATGAACTTGTACTTGTCTTTGTGATTCTATTTTGAAAAGACTCAAATAACAAAATTAAATTTCTGTTGAACCTCACAAAGTATGATGCATTTAAAAACCATTATGTGGAGAATGAAAAATGAAGAAAGACTAAGAGTTGTTAGCAGCAAGGTATAATGAGGCCAAAAAACCAGGAGTGAGACAGAATTACACTTCAGTTGTAGATGAGCTACACCCTGGAATTATGAGTCATAATCCAGTTAACATTTTAATATAATTACTGTGAGACTCTGAAATCATAATCTTGTTTGGCAAGATATGAAAGCTTAGGTACACTTCTTTTCACATTGAAAGCAGTGATTTAGGTCTTTGCACGTTGAAAGCAGAGGTTTAGGTCTGGAGTAAAGTTTCCAGCTTCTGACTTCAAACCTTTATGGTTTTGAGTAGCAGCATGCTTCATGTAAGGTCTTATGTCCCATTTGTTGGCTAGAGCTGTGGAGATGAATGGACAGTACTTTGCTTGGAAAGGTCTCCATATCCCCCTCCTGCCAGGCGGGAGAGCTAAGGCTTTGCACTCTCTGAGGTTTTTTGTGTGGCATTTGTGAGCAGCTTGATGTATTTGACACGTGTGTGGCAGAAAAGAAGTGTGTGGGCAGAGCCGTGCGCTGCAGGGCCCAGCTGTGTGGATTTATCTGTATATCAGGCCGAGGAGCAGCAGTTAGCCAGATCTGACAATCAAGTGTGAGCCCTTCCACCTACAGCTCAGAGTGCATTTTAATGCTGTGTGTGTTTACTTGCCAGTTGGCATTTGACACAAAGGAATTGTCAGAGCTGCCTTCTCCTTTCTTCACTCTGGAGTGTGTTAGTCTACAGTAGTTTCCTAAATAAAGACTTTATTGTATGTGGATGAAAGTATATACTTTTTAAAGTAAAAAAAGTCATAATGTCTTCATTTTTGTATTGAATTCCATGTTAAGAATTAATAGATAATATGTCTGAATTAGTCTAAGGTAATATGTTGAATAGCCAATGTGTTTATGTTGCTTGAAAATTGAAATAGATTATTTTGAAGAGATTGCCTTTCTATCCCTTTCTAATAATTTCCTGCCTCTAATTTTAACAGATGCACTGTAATAGTTTGTCACATAGCCCACATTTTTTTATGTGCATACAGCAAGCAGATATTGTATCTTATCTGGAGAGCTCTTTATTTCGTGAATAGCGTGGTTTTTGTTTTCTTCTTGTTTACTGTTGCACTGTATTTCACAGTGTGTATGTACCTTAGTTTATTTTACTGTCCTCTGTGGATGAACAGTTCATTGTTTTTAATCTTAGTGCTTTATTGAGATGATTTATATACCACAAAATTCACCCTTTTAAAGTGTTCAACTCAGTGGTTTTTAATATTTTTAAGCTTTATTCTACAAATAATGACATGAAGAGTAGCCTTGTACATTCATGTGAACAATTCTACAAGTATGTCTGTAGGATAAATCCTTAGAAGCATGATTCTGGGTCAAAGGTAAAAGCATTTGCATTTTGAAAGGAATTGTGAGTTACCTTCATAGATGCTGTTCTGTTTTATAATTTCGATAGCCAAGTATGAGAGGACCTGTTTCTACTCTTACATTGACTTTGCTTTTTTAAAGCAATTTTTAATTCTATAAAGCAATCATAATTTAAAATTTTGATGTCCATGAATTACCATTGTAAGTTAACATTGATTTCTGATTGATTTCATCGTGTGAACATGGCACAGATTTCTAAGTTCAGAAATATTGTTATTTGTAATTGATATTGTCAGTTAAATGGTAAATTAGTAAATGATGAGCAGAGCAGATTTCATCCATGTGGTCTGGAGTGGTTTCCTGACCCCTGTTATCCCTTGTCATGTAGATATAATCATAGCATTAAGATTCCTAGTGGAAGAAAGCTATTTGTATTCTTGCTTGACAGTGAAAGTGTTCTTGAAGAATTTTTTCTTTTGATATACTTCTTTTTTTTGTCTTTTTCCTTTTTATCGGTACCGGGGATCGGACTCACGACTGCCTGTTCACAAGGCAGGCGCTTATGCTGCTGAGCTAAATCCCCAGCCCTTTGATATACTTCTTAGTTACAATGTTTTATACTTGTCTGGTGCTCTGAACCTCATTTGCACTGAAAAGTGGTTATTTCACAATAATTTAGCTGAAACATTAATTACATGTAGAGTTCAGCCTCCATTGACTTATGGGATATATCTACTGGTGTTTAATCTGATTTAGATGGAAAATATAATTTCTTTTGGGGATCTGTACCCTTATACTTCTTCTTTTATACAAATTAGCTTTATTGATGGACTGTCATGAAGAGATTTTAAGGTGGTATTTATAAATAGAGTTTTGAATTATTCAAGGCTTACATTTCTTTGGTGACATTTATAAATATTCTAGCATTTAATGTTTATAAAAGTTTCTAAGAACTAGTAAAAGGTACATAGGGAAATACAGGCTTTTCCGAGCTCAAAATAAAAAATCAAAGTGTAGTTTTGGATTAAATAAGCAGTGGTACGCATAAATGTGTAAGTATAATGTATACATGGAAATACCTTTGGTTCTTTTTATGTTGCCAAAAAGGGTTAATATTGAGAGCAGATAAACCAATTAACCAATTAATTATCCAGAGTGGTTTGTGCTACATTAGTAAGGGAGAACTCTTCAGTTTTAATTGCCCAGTTACTTTTACCACTATAAATGAGAAAATATCTACCGTTAAAACAGAAGACTTTAATTAAATAAATAGGCTAGAGTTATGTTTAAGAGTAGAACTTATTGTTTTGTTTCATATAGATCAACTATTTACAGAGTCTCTATGTTTCTCTTTATTCACTTTGGATTATGATTAAAAAGGTCCAGAAAGAATTGGAATTTTACAGAACCAAAATGACTTGTTCTGGACTACTCTGATTATTGTGGGTTCGTGGTGAAAGAGGACAGGACTCTGGTCCTGTCAGGTTGTGTACTTAGGTTGTTTGCTGTGTAGACAGTGGCTATGGGAGTGTGAGACTAAGGTGTATTTAGGGTTTACCAAGCCATATTCCCATCACGTAGGGCTGCACTTGTACAGAGCAGGGTGCGCAGCCTCGTCATCCATAGAATGATACCTTACTGGCAAGCATAGCCTTGATAATGCATTTTTTATAGTTTCATTTGAAAAGCAATTGTTTCTGCCATTTTTTTCTTACAAGTAACTAGTATGTCTATATCTATTCACATTTGTCTGTATCTACACACATATATCACACACACACACAGGTACTCCATATATGCTCAAATATAAATCCCTCAGAAGAAGAGAGTGACCTTATATGTACTTGATTCCTTTAAGCTACCTTATACTATGATGTGCTCTCAGTTTGTTTGAACAGGAAAGCATTATTTGAGGAATATATCGTTTGAAAAGAGTCTCAGACAGTACTAGCTATGATCGTTTAACAAGTGTGCTTCTTAAACTTGAAAGCAAGAGAAGCAAAGAGGCTTAATACAGATTTAGAAATTCTTATGGAGGTGAAAGTTCACTTTAAAAAAGCAATACTACAAGTGGGCATGATAAAATCAATGTTTATAGGGTGAATCAATATTCCAGATATCCTGAGGTTATGGAAGTAGATATTGTGAGCTTAGTTGGTATTTCCAGTGGTAGTATCGTAGAAGGGATGTGAAGTGCCACATCAGAGCCAGATTGTGCAGATAGGATGATTTGTTCTGGAAAACCGTATTGGGTGACTCAAAAAGTGACCCCAGTGGAAATGTGAAGAATGTGTCATATTGTCTTATGAAATGGGAATGAGAATAAAAATTAATGCTTAATACTTTGTGTAACTTAAAATCTATGCAATTCAATTAATGCATTTCATAATTGGCATTTAAACAATTTGTATCTCTAAAAGTTTATACATTCAACTTTGGCATATATTTTAGGATTCTGTCATTGGAAAAGTAAGATACTATCTTGTATTTTGGGTCATTTTATATTCAGTCACATATATTATTTTTATTATCCTTAAACAGAAACTGAGGCTTCTTGAGGAACTTGAAGATACGTGTCTTCCTTATCTGACTCCCAAAGATGATGAATTCTATCAGCAGGTAAGACATTTTAATATTTTTGTCATTTTGTAATGATATGTTCTGATTTTCCTTCTTTTACCTGAAAATCTACTGGTTGAGTAAATTTAAATGAGAAGCGAGAAGGTCTAAGCTCATCGCTCAGAGACCGCTGGTCACTTACCAGTGTACAAATTCCTATACAGTCTGCTTTCTCTGTGAACTTATTAGTGCTTTCACACACTGCACTATTTTTTCCCCTTCAAACATTGCATCATCTTTCCTGCATCCTTGTTTCTGCTTAGGTTTTTAAAAATTTTTTTATGCATGGAATAAACTTTCTCCTCTTGTCCTGTTGTTGGGTGGTGTTGGGTGGCTAATTCTTTTAAGAGTTCAGGTAAACTTTGCTTCCCTAGTGAAAAATTTCCCCACCTACTTTACCTACAAGTTGAATTAACTTGTACTCTCCTCTGTGTTACTTATAGTTTATAAATAACTACTGCTTATCACATTATATAGCAATTATATGATTCTGTGTCTATTTCATCAGCATTCTTCCATTACAAGTGACAGCAATGCAGCTCAAATTCATTGTGGTGCAAAAAAAAGTGAGGCCTCACTTAGAAATCTAGGAGTATATAGCTAAATCCATCCATCCTCTCAAAAACTGTCACCTGATCACTATTTTTTTTTCTTTCAGTTTCTTGAGTTGAATTTTTTTATGTGTGCTTTCATCTTGAGTAGATACTTACATAATATCATGGAAGCATTCAGATGGCTCACTGGGTGTGTGATCTTTAGCTTCTGGGGTCTTGGAAGAAGCTAGTGAATTAAAAATTGGTAGGTATGCTGAGCCAGCAAAAATAATAAATATTCACCTGTTTCTTCCTATTAGAATAAATGTTCTTAACATAGAGGAATAGACCAGATCACATCTGTAGCACCTGCTTATATATCGCAGCCCTTGAAGAAAGAAGGAAGGAAGGTAGGAAAGGAATTTACCTATGTAGAACCCAGGTTTCTTAATTTCTAGTTTATTGTCATTTCTAAGACACTGTCTCTTGTCTGTATTCACATTAGATTTTCACTTTTTACTCTTCTGTCCCCTTGTGGATCACTATCACTCTAGTTGTCCTCTTTGCCCCTGTCTGACTTGGAAGTCACTGTATTTTCTGATCAGAACATAACTGAGTGTGTCAGGCCCTTGGTTCACATCCACAATGGATGTGCATAGCTTAACTCTTATATTTCCAGCCTCATGTCCCCTGCTTCTCTACCTTTCTGTCCACATTTAATTTTTGCACTACCTCAAAGAAGCTATGTAGTTAAATACTTGGGGCCTTCCTGCTACATTCTCTGACAGTGTCCTTCCTTGCTGAGCTTCTGTGCTTTCGTTAATAAGAGCCCACATATCCTGTCCTGTAGAAAGCATCCTATACACCTTGATGGCCCAGAAAATTGTACTCCTGTTGTTACACTTTGTATTGGTCAGCTTTCCATTGTTGCAATAAAATGTATGACACCTGCAACATAAAGGACGAAAGGTTTATTGTAGCTCAGTTTCAGAGGTTTCAGTTTATGGTTGATTGGCACTAAGGCAGGAACATCACGGCAGAGGAAAGCCACTCAACTCATGATATCTGGTGATATGGGTCGTATCTAGATGTCCTCTCAACCACTCTAGGTAAGTAGCTCCCCTCCCCAACCAAGGACTAACCAGTCATCCTGGACAAGGATAATGCCTAGGGAGAGAAGAAAACAACCCAGATTCAGTGACCATTGATTAATGTTAAGTGCAACAGCACCTGCACCCCTACCACATGGTCTCCATCCAGCAGAGACCAGAGGGCTGATTCATTTCTTGTGGGCCTACAGCAGCAAAGGACATACTTTGGCTTGGATAACTACAGCTAGGGAGAATGGACAGAGAGGCACCTCTGGTTTAGGGAGGATACGTCAAAAACCTATAGGTCCTAAAACTAGATGGAGAAAACTGTGACTGGCTTTATCCAAAGAACTACAGATCTTGGAAAGAAGCTACTCATACAGGGATTTTTTTTCCCCCCTTTGATTTAACCTTTTTTTCATCTGACTATTTTTAAAATTACTTTTTATATTTCCTCCTTTAGATTTTTGGGGGGTTGGAGTTTTCCTCTTTTTGGGGGGGCACTTTTAGTTTCTGTCCCTTTATCTTTTCCCCTTTCAGGTTTTCTTCTTCCTTCTTATCTTCATTTTATTTCCTGTTTTTGCTGGAATTTCTTTTTTCTTTTTCTTGTTTGTTCTCTCCTGCCACTTTCTCTAGTAGTAGAGAACACTACTTTCCTTCTATCCTTAGTAGAACCCTTATATCTCTTTTTTCTCTCCTCTTCATATTTCATTGATTAATTTCTCAATTTTTTTTCATTCTGCAGTTCCCCACCTTCTTGACCTTTACTAGTATATCTACTAAACTTTATTAATCTCTAGATAGGTAGTTAACTTTACACTATTGCTATTGCATATTGTTCTGTTGGTATCTATTGACTTAGTATCTATTGACTGTAGATCAATGTTTGGTTTGTTTTAGAGTTCATAATATAATTATACATCTCTTTTCTATGGTCACCGGTGGAACATTATGGGTTCTTAGTATTCATCAATACTTAATTTGACTTTGACATTATAATTGATGCTGATTTTATTGCTATAGTAAAGGTGACATAGCTGTTGCTGTTAATTAGTTTTCCTGAGAGGCTAGTATCTGGATTACATTGGGGTCGTTAACAGTTGTGGCCCATTCGTAGAGGACTAGGTACTGGACCAAATATGCCACAGCCTCTTATCCCAAGTAAATGGAGATGGTTGGATCCTGGGAAAAAGGCAAAGGCATATAATTAACTATGATCAGAAGACACCACTGAAAAGTAGGCATTAACTGTAGAGGTTTGAATACTAGGAACAAAATTTTGCACTACAGCTAACTCACAAGTCTCAACACAAAAACAAATAAACAAACAAACAAAAATAGAAACATGAGAAGACAAGTGAACAAAATATCTCCCAAAACTGATCCATGGGACACTGAAGAAGAGGAAAGGAAAAACCACATACCCAAAGTATTTGAAATATCAAGGGGGAAATAATCAAAACAGATCAATAAGGCATTTGACTAGTTCACAGAAGATATAGGTGATGAGCTATTGAGTCACATAAAATGATCAGTGAATCTTCAGAAGACACTAAAATAAAAAAAGCAGTGCAAAACATGAATGACCACCATAGTAAACTGTTAAAGAGTCTTTAAAAAGGCTCCAAATAGAAATTCAGGAGAATAAAAGTTCTATCAAACATATGGGCATCAGAAGTGACCAATGTGGGCACAGAGTATCAGAATGGAAAGACAAGACTGTTGGCAGTGACCAATTAATGAGAGAAACCATGAAAACAAGAGACTGTGAAAAATAGATTCATCAGCTCCTATGTAATGCAAAGAAGACTAATCTGAGATTAATTGGAAGTACTGAAAAATCAGAGGATGTTTCAGGTGGCATAGAGCACCTGCTTACCTAACTAACAACAGAAAACTTTCCAAATAATGGAGACCAAATTAAATATACAGATATGTGAGATACATAGAACCCTGAGTAGCCACCATCAGAAAAGAACTTCTCCACAGCAAATCATACTCAAAATTCCCGAAGACAGCACAAGAGCAGAATCTTATAAATGATTCGAGAAAAATAGTGAATCACTTATAAAAATACACCCATTAGAATTATGGCAGATTTCTCAACACAAGCCTTCAAGACACTGAGAGCTTGGAGTGAAATGTTTCAATCTCCAAAAGAAAATAATTTCCAATCCAGGGTATATATCCTGAAAAACTTTAAAAGTGGATGGAGAAATAAAATTTTTTATGATGAAGGCCACTTAAAGAAATTCATGATCACCAAATCAGAACTCTAAAAATTCTGAAGGATCTCTTCTTAGAAAGAGACGAAAGAAGCTAACAATGACAAAAGGTTTAATAGAATGAATATGCCAGAGTGAACAGCTAAGTAGGAAGGAAAGATAGGAAATCAATAATAGGAAAGTAAGCTAATGACAAGAATAGGTCAGTCGCCTCAGTAATAACCTTCAATGTGAATGGGCTCAATTCTCCAATCAAAGAATAGAAGAACAAAATGGATCAAGAAATAAAGTTCTGTGATATGCTGTATACAAGAAACATGTACTCCAAAAAGAAACTCAAAGACCAAGAACCAAAGAGTGCAAAACAATATTGTATGCAGTAAGAACCCAAAAAAGCAGATATTGCTATTCTGTATTCAAAGTGGACTTTAAGCCACAACTGATCATAGAGGCAAAGACAATCACTACAGTATTTATTTATCAAGTGAACAGTCTTAACAGGAAGAAATAATAATTACTAACATATATGAACTGCACAGTGATGTACTCAACTTCATTGAATGACTACTACTGGACATAAAAGACCAGATAAAAATTAACACAATCATAATGGGTGACTTCAATATTCCATTGCCACAGATCAACTGGACAAAATCAACAAAGAAATATCAGCATTGAATAAAATCTTTGAGCAAATAGACTTAATACTAGGTATCCACAGTGTCCACCAAACAGCAGTTATATGTACACATTCTTTTCAGCAACATACAGAATTTTCTCCGAAATAGACTACCTATTTAAAGTAAGCTTAAGTAAACGCAAGAGAATTAAAACTAAGTGTGCATATTACCAAATTATAGCATAATGAAAGTAGAAATCAATGGCAAAAGAAAATAGAGAAATTATATAGATGTGTGAAAAATAAACAGTATACCATACCCCCACAAAGTCATAGTTTAGCATTTGTGTCCTCAGTCTTTCATGGATTTTTCCTTACAGGAAACCTCCACAATGTCTTGAAACTGAATATCCTCTGCAATTGTGTGTGTGTGTGTGTGTGTGTGTGTGTGTGTGTGTGTATGTGTGTGTGTGTACGTTTTTTGTTTGTTTGTTTTTTTGTGAGAGGTTTTCAGGTAGCCAATCCTACAGGG